CAGAATACGATTTTTTTTGTACATCCAGGGCTGGTGAAGGGATCTGCATCCTCGAGGGACCTGGAGACTCCTAAAGGGACCTGGAACCCCTAAAGAGACCTGGATCCTTGAGAGACCTGGGGACCCCTAGAGGGACCTGGAGACTCCTAGAGAGACCTGGAGGAGGCCTACGGCTATGTGAAACTAAGAAGGCCTATGGAGGCTAAGCTATCTTCAGAAGATATTGTGGACCTGAAAGAAGCCGTGAAGGGTCTGTTTTAAAGACACGAGGGGAGGAGACAAAAGCTTGTGTGTGTGCGTGTGTGTGTGAGAGAGAGAGAGAGAGAGAGAGAGAGAGAGAGAGAGAGACTCAGCCTCCCCTCGACCACCCATTGAGTTTCCTCTCTGGATGAGTGATTATTTTTAATTACCAAACGCGACGACGATTTAAGAAACTACCTGTAATAGCTGAAAGGGAAGGAGGAGGAGGAGGAGGAGGAGGAGGAGAGAGGAGGAGGAGGAGGAGGAGTGGGAAGGGAAAGGGGGGAAGAGGGAGGTGAATGTGGGGAAGGCAAGGATGGTGAAGGTGAGGGGAGAGAGGAGGGCAGAACAGGAGAAGGAAGGCGAGAGGAGAGGGAGTAAAAGGAGTGGGATAGGGAGGGAAAGGAGAGGGATAGGGCAGGTGATAGACAAAAAGAGAAAAGTGGAGAGGTGTGTGTGTGTGTGTGTGTGTGTGTGTGTGTGTGTGTGTGTGTGTGTGTGTGTGTGTGTGTGTGTGTGCCAACGTACAGTCCATGTACATATGCATGTTTTTCTGTGTACATGCAGGAATACATGTACTGTATATGCATGCAGGAGTGGTGTTGCTGCTGAATGTGCCTGTGTGTGTGCTTTTGTGCATGCGTGGCGTGGTTGTCTGTATGTGTGTGTGTGAACGTACAGGTGTGTGGGTGCATATTTCATAAGTGAGGGGAGAGTAAGTGCCAGGGTGAGGGGAAGTGTACAGAACACCAGGGGGGCACCGCTCAGATTCTCAAACACTCGTAGTTTAATATTTTTTTTTCCTTAACTCCGGGTCATGTACAAGAGAGCCAACTACAGTCACGGTAAAATTTCCGCGCCATCTTGTGTGTCGCAGCTGAAGTGTACCAGTTAGATACGTTCTCACAGTTACTATAAATTACCTAACGTAACGTAACCTAACTTAACCACAATAATAAGAATAACTAAAATAACAAGAACAACAGCAATAACAAAGACAACGATTAAAACAACAGCTCTACGCCTTCTACAAAAAACAGATGAATTGTAAAGTAGAAAAGGGAAAATAAAAGAGGAATAATACTAATAATAATAATAAACAGGAAATGAAAAAAACGAAGATGCAAGAATACAAACAAAACAAAGGGCATACAAGAGCGAACAGAATAAATACAAGGTGACAGAAAGTGGAACATTAAGAAGAGGAAGAGGAAATAGCAAGTGTACGAGAGAAAGAGACAAACAGGAAATTGGAGACGAAATAGGGGAAATGGTAATGGAGTGAGAATAAAGGGAAATAAAGGAGGAGGAAATGAGAAAATGAAAAAAAAAGAGAATTAGTAACAGCAGGAAGATAAATGAAAGGAGAGGCAAAGGTTACAACTACCCAAAAAAAAAAACCGAAAAAGTGTGAACATAGCAGAAAGGAAAGAGGAGGAGAGAAGAAAGGGGGAAAGTAAGTAAAGTAGGAAAAAGGAAATATGGAACAGGAAATAATAATAATATGGGATAATAGTGAACGAGAGATAGATGAGTGGAAGAGAGGATAGAGAGGGAAGATGAAGGGCAGGAGGAGGAAAAGGAATGAAGATGGTGATAATGAGAAGGTAGAAGAAATATATAAATATACGACATAAGGGGTGAAAAAATACCACCCACACACACACACACACACACACACACACACACACACACACACACACACACACACACACACACACTTCGACAAAAAATAAATTTATAAAAGTTAGGGCTAGGAAGCTTCGTGCATAACCATAGATCGAGTTCTATATCTCTAGGGGGGACGAAAACATTTTACTTTTCCCTTTATAACTGTAGCATATTTTTTTCTCAAGTGAATTTGGGTTGTTTTTAGCTAAAGCGTTTCATATCAAGTTAATTTTAGACTTTTGAGCTGTATTTTTTTTCATATTAAGTAAATTTTAGACATCTTGGTATACAACGATGAAATTAAATAAAAAACAAAATTAGTAACTTTTCGTGTTTTAGAACGAAAATAAAATTTGGCTAAAAAAGAAACATACGATTTTTTTATACGTTTATTTTGAAGTCTTGAACGTAAGTGATAAATGACCAAAGTGAATAAACAATATAAATATTTTCAGTTGTAAATTATTGCGTTTGGAATGTAAATACAATCACAACAATAAAATAGTTTTATTTAAGCACCTTAAATAAATAACAGTAAACGCGAATATACGAAATGAGAATTATTTATTTCTTTAACAAGTTTCAACCCTTTGGAAATAAATTACACTATATTGGTTGAAGATTCAGCAAAAACAAATAAAAACATGAACAAAATAAACTAGATATATATAATAAACTAAAAAAATAAATAAACCAAGGCCCCCCCAAAAAATATGAAAGGAGATTATGTAATTTATTTTCACATTAATTCCATTTTACGGGATTTTTAATTACGATGAGGACACCTGGCCACAGTGTAAACCTTTTTTCATCCACAAACAACTCAACTGGTAATGATTTTAGCGAATTATGTTAATCGTTTGTAAATCAATGATGAGATTAGTTAGGTTGTCACTTTTGAATATAATTGTGGAGTCAAGTTGATTTAGTGAACAGGTTAGTGTCTCTCGGGTGTGTGTGTGTGTGTGTGTGTGTGTGTGTGTGTGTGTGTGTGTGTGTGCGTGTGTGTGTGTTTTATAGCACTTTCCATACTTACCAACATGTATTTCTTCTCCTCTCCTCTTCTCTCTTTCTTAAGCTGTCTGTCTCTCATAATCCATCCTCCACAAGAGCGAAAGAGGAACATAGATAACTGATAAACGGAGAATCACAATAAAACACGTAAAAATCTTTCTCGAGTCTATTCCGAAATGTAAACACAGACCGATGGATCAAAATTGGGCACCTTATGACACTTAATGGCACTTGTATCGACTGTATCTAAACGGTGTGCCATTGACAGTTACTATTAGTATCTACGTCACGCGCCATTAAGAGAGCAATTACTGTTATTCTTAATGGCGGCGTCACGCACCATCATTACAATTGCGTTATTAGTGTTGCCTACGTCATACACTACTAATGGAAAACTTATGTTAATAATTCTATTCAACGTATCATACCATAAACAGATATTTGTGTTATTAACGTTTAATTTAAGATAATAAATCACAAACGTTTAAAGTAACAACGTACAATACATCACAAACGTTGCCACATGTTTAACGTTTTAGAACAATATCAGGAGTCAGTATAAATCTTGGGACCCTGCAGCACCACCTTTTAATTACGTCATTACTGTACTTTATTATCAACAAAAAGCTCACTTTACATATGGCATAATGTTTTTTATGGCGGGGGAGCACTCGACAACACGCTACCATTACCCGATAATAAAATATAATTACAGAGCTAACACCTGTCCTGAATCACGAGTCTTAAACACAACAACAACAACAATAATAATAATAATAATAATAATAATAATAATAATAATAATAATAATAATAATAATAATAATAATAATAATAATAATAATAATAATAAAGCTCTCAGTGGAGGCTGCTCATAGGTGTGGTGAGAAGGTCGTTTGATCTCGGTGGAAGTAACAGGAGAATTGGAGAAAGATATTACAGTGTTACAGTGTAAATATATTACTAAACCTTCAATAATGGTCCTTTACACTTCAGCTCAGATGCTCGCTTGATCCTCGCAGTAACAATCGGACAAATCAACAACGGTATCATTACGATGTACATTATTTAAACTTTCAATACTGGTGCTTCACCGATCGGACCCTCGCTTGACCCCCATGGTACCCGCCACGACAAATCAACAACCACATTATTACACTGTAAACAGTGCTATAATTTTACAGCTCCCTGAGAAACTTTGCTGTGAATATAAATCCCAAACAGATGTCGGCCATGGGTATAATTTATCCGACGCACCTGTTTATTTCCCGCATAATACCGTATGTTGTCTGTCTCACTGAGTCTCCCCTCTTAATCCTGGTCCCCTGTACTGTAGTCATATATACACACACACAACAGGTATCCATTGGCGGAACGACGGTGTCTATGAAAGGCTAATTTGCAAACCGGCTGAGAGACGAGTCGCAGTGAAAAACTTAAATATTCTGCAGGAAATATAAACTAAAATAGTTCGTTGTCCTGCACCATGTTTGTTCTGACAGTGAATCGTCTCCCAATCGGTTAACGAATCAACCAAAGGGACGGCGATGTTAATTTGGTTCATACCTGTTGTATAAGTATACTGACAACGGGGGGCCAGTTTAGCGTCCCTCCCCACCCCATTCCGCCTCTTCCATGAATTTACTGTAACATAATATCCAGGACTCCCTCGCGTCGGCTGCCACTTGCTGGTAGTCACAGTTCCGTGAGTCATAAGTCCCTGCAGGAGTTAGTAGCGGGAGTTAATAAACCAACGCCTGAGGACGCCATGGCTACATAATTATCTCCGTAATTAGTGTGGCGAGTTTTTCTCTCCCTGGACTCTCTTAACACTGAGTACGCGAGGATACGAGTACCTACCTAGTCCTTTGAGTACTACGGGGGAGGTGTTGGGGAGAGGGTTATAGGAGGTGGGGAGGATGTAGTGTTGGTGGTGGTGGGGAGTAGTTACTGTAAAGAAGATGAGTGAGGAAAGTGAGGGGGCAGTACCACTCACAGATCACCCCACTCACAGGTCACCCCACTCACAGATCACCCCACTCACAGGTCACCCCACTCACAGGTCACCCCACTCACAGGCAGGTCACCCCATTCACAGATCTCAGGTGTCAGGGCATCAAGTACCTGCAAAGAGAAAACATCACCTGTTAATTATGATAAAAATATCACCTGTTCACTAATAGGATTTAATGTAAAAAAAAAAAACACACCAAAGACAAACATTACTTAACGAGGGGAGGAGAAGGGGAGGAGAGGAAGAGGAATAAGAGGAAGAAGGGGAGATGGGAGATGATATGTGGTTTAAGTATTGTAGCAAGATGATGATGATGATGATGATGATGATAGTAATATCTTGTACACTCCCTCCCAGAAGCAGGTGTGTGTGTGTGTGTGTGCGTGTGTGTGTGCGTGTGTGTGTGTGTGTGTGCGCGTAACACCGTGTAATATTCCATCTGCTTGTTGTTGATAATGTGATCCCCCCACCCCTCCCCCCCAACACACATTCTGCCTTGTTCACATCCGCCACCGTAAATAACTTTGCCTCGATTACATCCGTCTCGATCATATTAACTCGATCACACCTGCCATGTTACCTACCCCCTCACCTGCCCATCCCCACGTAATCATTCTCTTCCTTTTAACCTCTTCATTCACTTCTCTATCGATCGTCATGTTCCTCCATCATCACGTCTATCAGTTCACATGGCACGGAATTTACCGCTTAATTAACACTCAGGCTGACAGATGGCGTGAATGAGGTCATTAGTGTCGTCTGTATATACAAAACTATTCATCTAACCGTAAAGTCGTTTGTTTTTAATTAATTAACTGAAGTCTACCTGATTTATCTATTCTACTACCAATAGCTACTGATCTGTGCATTATACTAACTTCTTTCTATCTATCTATCTATCTATCTATCTATCTATCTATCTATCTATCTATCTATCAGTCCATCTCATCCATCCATCCATCCCATCCATCTCTCCCTCAACTTGTATATGATTACCCCCAGTCAACAGCACATACTCCCCCCCCCACTGGCCACAACAAGTGACTCGATTGAACATATGACAAACCTAAAATAATTTCTGGAGTGTAATTACCAATTTTCATGGGTTGGTCTCCCTGTCTGACTCACCCATATAGCCTTCTAATGGGGGCCTACGCACGCTAAAAATAGGCTAATGAGGATGGATATATGTACGAAGGTAGGTGGGGGGGGGGGTCAGGTGATGGGTGTAGGGGAGGCAGGTGAGTTTGGTGGTGTTGGGTGGTGGAGGAGTGTGTGTGGGGTTGTGTGGTGGGCGGTGCAGGTGGGTGGTGGGCAATAGCGTCATGCTTGAGGAGTACGACACACACACACACACACGCTGCCCCACCCATTCCCCACCCACTAACACTGACTCTCTCTTCTATAAAATGAGTTATTCTTTACTTTATCTCTTTTATTATTGTAGTTTTAACTTGTTCTCAGTTCTCTGCTTTTATATTATCACACACACACACACACACACACACACACACATACACACACACACACACACTCAACACCTTGTCGTCATGCACTCCAGCCAGAATAAGGTAACAAAACCATTTTTAAGTGATTATGACTAGGGTACCCAGGGTGAAGCCTCTGAGCCTTCGTCTGATCTCTAAACAACACACACACACACATCTCTCTCCTACACCTTTCCTCCTCATTACTAATTCTATCTTATTTCTACCTCTAAAAGCGATGGTGCTTGAAAACCTTTTGGGTAGTAAATGTGTGTGTGTGTGTGTGTGTGTGTGTGTGTGTGTGTGTGTGTGTGTGTGTGTGTGTGTGTGTGTGTGTGTGTGTGTGTGTGTGTGTGTGTGTGTGATCGGTCTAAATAAGGTCGAAATATACGAATGATTTTTTCTGATGAATTCATAAGTGACTGCACAGCGCATGTATTATGAAAGGGAGTCAGGTGTATATATTTATTTACATATATATATATATAACGTCTAAACTCTTAAATGGATTCTTTTACTCACACCTGTCAAGCCGTGGTTTGGCCTTATGGATCAGCCCCCGAAGTACAATTTTAAAAAACAATTGATTTTTTTGCATTCGGTTTACATACCATAGTCTTCATAGCCCTTATATAAAGCCCAGATTTGTAAACAACTCTTTTATAAATTCCTTAGATATTAATCGTGAACAAAAAAAAAAACTATAGATGAGAGAATAAATAGGTAAAAAATAGGTAAGGGATCATGTAGCTAAAATAAATATACTGTATAGGTAAGAGAACACGTGGTTACAAAAACAGTGTAATGTATAGATGCAGAAACCTGTAGGCCCATAATAATATTCCTCACCCTAGAACAAAAAAATAAAAAAACAAAGAAACACAAGAGAAACGACAGGGTGGCGAACTACACAATATGGAGGGGGGAAAAAGGAAGCTGAATATAAACCAGCTGTTCCCCATATCCACCCCCGTCAATATTTAAGCTTAAAATTATCACATCCACTTCACTCTGGCTATCACCGATTATCGACGAGGTTAATCCTGGGGTGACCAAATGGCAGGCAACTGTACGCAGGGAAGAGCTGGCGGCGGGCGTTCATGTTGTTGTCCATCTCGGCTAGGGGTGGAGAGGCAAGCATTCACCTCCACCCTCCCTATGTCTTTACCTCCACCTCTCTCTCTCCTTTATTTATCCTCTTTCACACGCACTGTCTACCTCCCTCACTTACTAACTTTACCCCCACCCATTTTCCTTTTTAAATTTCTACCTCGCCTTTCTCTCCCTCTTCTCCCCCCTCATTCTCCCTACTTTATTGTAATTCCTCTCTCTCTCTTTCTCTTCTGCCCCCCTCCCTCTCCTCTCTCACTTGCTCTCCCCCCCCACCCCGTCACCCAGCCCTCATAATCATCTATGACTGTACACATAAAAATCACCCCTAACAAAATAACATTAGTTTGATTCGAGTGTGGATCAAAGGATTGTGTTTTTGTGGCTCATCTGTTTTTGGTAAAAATTTCATCACCAGTGAATTTTTCCAGTCGAGAAATAAAATATCAAGACCCAGTAATTAATTATGCTGGTATTTTTCACCTGTGACGATTGTATTAACGAATGAGTAGCTATGATTTTTTTTTCTAGGTATAGCATTAAAAAATAAATAGTTTCTTTTGTAGCCTCCTAAAATATAAGCATACATCTGAGGTAAACAACATGGAACTTGTTTATTGGGTGGAATAAACAGAGGAGTCAGCTGTGATGGTTGAATGATCATTCCTCTGGTGTGATGTTGATGATTAAGTTTCCAGAAGGAAGTGATCCCAGCAGTTGAGTTTCCCGAGTTCCAAAAGCAAAAGAGCAATACACTACTTAGCTTTCATGGCAGGAAAATTAAAGGACTTTCAGAAGTGCCGATCCCTGTAGTGGAGTGAGAGCGTGGCGTAACAACACATGCTTTTACCCCAGGATACTTTCCCTGATATTTATGTTTTGCCTTTTTTTTATTTTCACACCAGCTTGGTCTTTAGCTCAACTGGTCAATTATTTTCTTGCATATGTACAAAGAAGTAAATGTATATTAGTATTTACCCGATGTCTAGTATCTACCAATTAATCATTCTTAGGAATTAGTGTGTGTGGCAGAGCAAACATGTGACGCAAGAGTGTGTGTTCTGTGGCCTCTTACGACTTACTCTTAAGCTGATATATGAGTAAAGTTGGTGTAAGAAGTGTGTTCTTGGTGGAGTATGAGTGAGGTGGGTGTAAGGAGTGGGGCCCCTGGTGGTGTAGTAATCAGGAAGTGTATGAGTGAGCTGGGTGTTGCAGCTGGCAGACTCGCTGGCCAGATTGTCCCGAGCCTAATATTCCGCCTCGGTCTCTAACCTGCCAGATGTTACCCCATCCTCTCCCCCCCCACCCACCAGTGAGATAACATTACCCCCAAACGACTGAACTGGTCTATCATGAACATAAATTATAACAAAAAACAAAGTACCAAGAGAAAAAAATATACTCGAGCATAAATAAAACTTCAGCAATTTTAGTTTTAATTTTTCAACAAATGCAAAGTAGTTTATACTTTCTGGGTACGTTATATTTTTATGAGACTACCGATTTTATATGCTCTCTCTCGATGTGTGTGTGTGTGTGTGTGTGTGTGTGTGTGTGTGTGTGTGTGTGTGTGTGTGTGTTATAAATTATATCTATATTCATTTACTGTGGATAAAGTCTTAATACCTGGTGAGTATTACTACAGTATTATCATCGATTTAGACGTAAGATAAACGAATGCTCCCACAAGTATCTGTATAATCATTCCATATACATACATACATATATACATACATACATACACGAGGCCTCCCTGACACACAGACTCTTCACAGGCAAACACACGCTGGAGGCGGGGATATCATTGCCTGGCAGGGTGATGGTGAGAGGTCATCCCCTCCTCTGTTAGTTACACAGAAGCAGTATCGGCCTTCAGGTGACACACTTCTCTGGGATTATTCTGGGCCTGGCTGGTGGTGAGGCAGTCACCCAGCCAGGAAAAAAGCCAGATAGATAAGTATAAATGCAGACAGCCAAGTAGGAACCCAGGCAGGTAAGAATGAAGGCAGGCAGGCAGCCAACAACCGACCAACTTGCTTATCATCCCAGCAGGCAGCCAGCCAGGGAGTCATGCGGCAGATGTATGACACGAGAGAGCAAGAGGGACGAGGCAGGTGTCCAGGTGTCAACATGCATGACACGAGGAAGTGAGTGGCAGTTCCCTCATTATTACACGCACATGTCCAACTGAATTTTCTTCCTGTTTGGATGCATATTTTTCACATCTAACAGGACCCGAGCATTACAGGCACGACTGTGCGCAAAGGAACAAATTCAAATACAGGTAAACATACAACTGCAGTTACAGTAGTTTCAAAATGGTGACTGTATCAAACGGAGGGAGGTAAGGGGCGACTGTGTTACACATTGCAAACAAGGAGAATTACGGTACAGTGAGGTCACATACCAGAGTGACATAACAGAGTAACAAATACTATAACAGTGATGTATCAGAGAAAACCTTCTTTTTAGTTAAGTAAGGCGAAACATACGGTCATACGTCTAAATCGCAG